GAGAGAGAGAGAGAGAGAGAGAGAGAGAGAGAGAGAGAGAGAGAGAATCCGAAGCAGACTCCAGGCTCTGAGCTGTAAGCACAGATCCTGATGCGGGACTCGAACTCACGAACTGTGAGGATCATGACCTAAGCTGAAGTTGGATGCTTAACGCATTGAGCCACCCAGGTGCCCCTCTATCAACTATTTTAAATTAATAATTGAGATCCCATATTTCACTTGATGATAGAATTCTTTTCTGAAATAATTATTTTGTGTGGTTAGACAACTGTGTGAATGAAGCTTGGGATCCTGTGATAACTCCTGACTTTTACCATAAAATATACTATTAATATGAACTTTAGTGAATTATGATAGACTCTCTCGACTCCAGGGTCATTCTTTACTCCCTTTAATTTTTTTCCTTGATTCAGTCAGTGTGATGCACTCATTAAATAACTACTTGTGTTAGTTACCTCTGGTGTTTTTAATGGAGGTAGGGGATACCCATATGAACTAAAATTATTCCTGTACCCAAGAGACTACACTGGTTAACTTGAGAGATGGAAATGGATATAATCATGAGAGATAGAGTGAAATAAATGCTAACAGTACAGAGTAGAGAGACTTAGGCAGGTTTGGAAGATTTCACAGGGAGAGATATTTGAGCTGGGACACTGAAAATTGGGACATTAGAGGACAGAAAGAGAAATTTTGAAAGTGGAAAAAAGGAAAATGTTTAAAGTCTAATTAAGCAACAGGAATAACAGAGACTTTGAAAGTTCTTTGCTGTGCATGAGGAATTGTTAGGTGGCTCACATGAGTGGCTGAAATCCTATCCATTTATAAGAAATCATAGTCAAAAGTATTTGAAGTTGACTCTGTATGTTACTGAGGTAGAATGCAGGGCAGGAGGAAATAGTAAGAGTGAGAGTAGAAGAAACCAGAAACCAGAAGGGAAACAGGTCCAGAGGTGGAATTCATTTAGTTGTAGCAGTTTTGGATCCACACTGGCATTGGGCACCGCTTGCCTCCTCCAAGTAGCAGACCAATATAAATCAGATGAAGCTTATTTGGCTGTGTGAACTGCTAATAGGATAACTGTTTTTATGGACTGTAGGCTTCCTTATGTAAACACTAATACTTGCCTAAGCAATTGTTTTTTATTTTCTTTCTTCCTTTAGGTAACATGAAAACTGATCCTGATATCTGAGGCAATGGATAGAAGGAATCAGTCGACAGTATCAGAGTTTGTGCTCCTGGGACTCACTAATTCATGGGAGATCCAACTTCTCCTTTCTGTTTTCTCTTTTCTGTTCTACTTGGCAAGCATGATGGGAAACCTTGTCATTGTGTTCACTGTAACCTTGGATGCTCATTTGCACTTCCCTATGTATTTCCTCCTGGCTAACCTCTCAGTCATTGATATGTTGTTTTGCTCAATCATAGCCCCTAAAATGATTTGTGATATTTTCAAGAAGCGCAAATCCATCTCTTTCTGTGGATGCTTTACCCAGATCTTCTTTAGCCATGCTGTCGGGGGCACTGAGATGGTGCTACTTATAGCCATGGCCTTCGACAGATATGTGGCCATATGTAAGCCTCTGCACTACTTGACCGTCATGAGTCCCAGGATGTGTCTATATTTTGTAGTCACTTCCTGGGTCATTGGCTTCATCCATTCATTGATTCAAGTAGTTTTTGTGGTAGACTTGCCTTTTTGTGGCCCTAACGTGTTGGACAGTTTTTATTGTGACCTTCCCCGGCTCCTCAGACTTGCCTGCACAAACACCCAAGAACTGGAATTCATGGTTACTGTGAATAGTGGGCTCATTTCTGTGGGCTCCTTTATCGTGCTGGTCATTTCGTACATCTTCATTTTGTTTACTGTTTGGAAACATTCCTCTGGTGGCTCATCCAAGGCTATCTCTACACTGTCAGCTCATATCACTGTGGTAGTTTTGTTCTTTGGGCCACTGATGTTTTTCTACACATGGCCGTCTCCCACATCCAACCTGGATAAGTATCTTGCTATTTTTGATGCATTTATCACTCCTTTTCTGAATCCAGTCATCTATACATTCAGGAACAAAGAGATGAAAGCGGCAATGAGGAGATTGTGCAGTCATGTTGTGCATTACTGGAAGATCTCGTGAACTGCTGGCTATGAAGATATGAAATCATAGATTCTCCCCCATGCTGGTTGTAGAAAAGGCATTTTACAATCTCAGGAAAATACTCAACACTTAAGATGTTATATGCCTAGAAAAGTACTATCTATGATATTATGATATCGATTTCACCATTAATTTAGAAGCGATGTTATTCTTTGATAGTCTATACATCAAAGTGTCAAAAACCAAATCATATGTGCTTTGTCACCTACATGGTTAGGAGCAGGCCACATAATTGAATAACCAAGATTTATTTTATCTTCCTTCTGCTTACTGGATTTTAAGTCTCGATTTCAATTTTCTTTGTTTCTACTTTGATTCTTATTTCTCCATTTTCTGCTTCCTTGGTGTCCTTATCAGGCTCCTCTATCTGGCAGTGTATAAAATTGCTAATTCTATGTTAGAATTGTAGAAGTTAAAGCTAGATTGAATTACCAACATCACTGCTTCTGATCCTTCTGGTGCCCTAGCTATAACCCAAGAAATGAGGGGTGACTGCAATTGGCCCAGGAGCAGGACAGAAATTACCAGAGAGCCAGGCACCAGAAACTATGTCCTTGGTTGCCATGTCACTGCCCCATCACTTTCAAATCAATTTTGCATTTGAATTTCTGAACAAATTCTACTCTTCCAGTTATTTCCTATAGATCTATTTAAATTTTTTTTTTCAACGTTTATTTATTTTTGGGACAGAGAGAGACAGAGCATGAACGGGGGAGGGGCAGAGAGAGAGAGGGAGACACAGAATCGGAAACAGGCTCCAGGCTCTGAGCCACCAGCCCAGAGCCCGATGCGGGGCTCGAACTCCCGGACCGCGAGATCGTGACCTGGCTGAAGTCGGACGCTCAACCGACTACGCCACCCAGGCGCCCCTCCTATAGATCTATTTAAAGAAAGAGGTTTATATCTCTTATGTATTCCTTTTTTACTGGTAAATAGTCATCAACATTAAGCACTTCCTTATCATTTCTAAGTCTTTTCTTAGATTCTACCATGACCATACTCAAATTCCTAAAGGGTCACTGTGGCCCTTTTGTTTGAATGAAGGCATGTGGGAGTTAACTATATACAGACTCCTAGTCTAGAGCAATGCATAGTGTGTCCACCAAATGATACCCTCTCCCATCCCATGATCACCGCACCACTTCCTTGATGTATGATTTGAATGAAGGTACTTGGTAGTTGATACAACCCCCACACTGTTTCCGTGCCCTGTGGGTTTCAGCTATTGTAGAGGGTGAGGCGCTGAGACTGTCACATCCACACATCCAGACAGTATTTCAAAAAGTACATTATATTCTGTAGGGACAGTGGTGGCAATAAAATACCCAAACAATATTGGAATGGTGATCCCCATCCTCTGTCCATTTAATTCGCCACTGTGACTCCTACGAAAGTCAGGCAGATCCTGAAAAATGACAATGGACTATTGTAAACTCACCCTTGTAACAGACCTAACTGCAGTTGTTTTACCAATGGTGGTAACTTTGCAAGAGCAGATTAACACAGCCTTGGCCATATGATATGTGATCATTGATCTCATCCATTTTTTTCCCCGTATCTTTCAGGAAGGAGATTGGAAACAGCATTTTTATGAAATGGACATCAGTATATATTTACAGTTTTACCCTTTATCTTATAGTTGAAGAGATCCAGGCCAACTGGATATTTTATATGTCATCATAATTGTCTATTATATTAATGACATCATGCCATCAAACCAGATAAGGAGGAAATGGCAAGTACATTCATCCATTGGTAATATGTATGTGTTGTCAAGGGAGAGAATAAGTTGTGTAAAGAATGAGGAAATTTCACATCATTAAAATTTTAGGATTTCAAGATATGGATCAAAGACTCAAATGTAGAAGAAAACACAGGGCAAATGGTCTTTGACACTGGTCTTGGCAATAATTTCTTGGGTAAGACACCAAATACACAGGCAACAAAAGCTAAAATAAACGATTGAGAAGAAACAAATCTAAAGAGCTTCTGCACAGCAAAGGAAACAATAAATTGAAAAGGCAACTTACAGAATGGCAGAAAATGCTTGCCAATCATATATTTGATAAGGGGTTATTATACAAAATAATGAGAAAGTCATATAAGTAATAGCAAAAAGTAATTAATCCAATTAAAAAAAGGGTACAGGACCTGAAAAGACATTTTTCCAAAAAAAAGACATATAAATGTACAATATGTGTATGAAAAGGTGCTCACCCTCACTAATCATCAGGGAAATGCACATCAAAACCACAATGAGATATCACTTCACACCTGTTATTATGGCTGTTACAAAAAAAGAGACAAATGCTAGCAAGGACGTGGAGAAAAGGGAACCCTTCTGCACTGCTGATTGACAAGCAAATTGGTACAGCTGTTCATTTATAGTGAACATTATGAAAGTTTACAAAGAACAATATGAGGTTCATCAAAAAACTGAGTACAGAACTACCACATGATCCAGCAATTCTGCTTCTGCGTGGATATTGAAAGGAAATGAAATCAGTATCTTGAAGAGGTATCTGCATACCCGTCTTCACTTCAGCATTATTACAGTAGCTAGGATATGCAAACAATGTAAATTTCTTTCAGTGCACGTTGAATAAATAAAATGGGGTATATATGCAAATGGAATCTTTAGCCATAAAAGGCAAATCCTGCCATTTGCGATAACATCGATGAGCCTGGAGGGCAATATTCTAACTGATAAAAGCCAGATAGAGAAAGACAAATAATGTACATTATCACTTATACGTGGGATAATTTCTTTTACAAAAAGAATCTGATTTCACAGACAGAGAATAGAATGGTGGCTTCAAGAAGTTTGGGGGAGGTTGAAATGGGGAGATATAGGTCAAAGGGTATAAACTTTCAGTTATAGGAAGATAGGTTCATAAGATCTAATGTACAGTGTGGTGACTATAGTTAATAATATGGTATTGTGTACTTGAAAGTTGCTAAAAGTAGATCTAAAGCATTTTTATGACACAAAGACACAGAGACACACACACACCCGAGAATTACCTATGTGAGGTGGTGGATGTGTTAACTTGACAATCATTACACAATACATGTAGGTATTAGGTCATCACATTATAAACTTTATAAAATTTTTTTTTCAACGTTTTTATTTATTTATGGGACAGACAGAGACAGAGCATGAACGGGGGAGGGGCAGAGAGAGAGGGAGACACAGAATCGGAAACAGGCTCCAGGCTCCGAGCCATCAGCCCAGAGCCTGACGCGGGGCTCGAACTCACGGACCGTGAGATCGTGACCTGGCTGAAGTCGGACGCTTAACCGACTGCGCCACCCAGGCGCCCCTATAAACTTTAAATATAGACAGTTTTGTTTGTCAATTATCCTCAATCAAGTTTGAAAAAAACTAGGAGTTTAATGGTCTGAGCATGTCTGGAGATCCTTTCAAAGTAAAGGAAAACTATTGAATCTTGTACCCTCTATCACTAATAAGGAAGCACAACGTCTGGTAGATTTCTCCTATTTCTGGAGGAAACATTCAACAACAGGAATAGCACTCAAACTTATATATTAAAAGATGTGAAAGGGTATAGATCTGGAAAAGTTTTTTTTTTGCGGCATTCCAGACTTTATGCAAATAACCCTGTACTTAGACAATCCTATTTGGCGTACCCTGTAGTATTAGAAAAATTGGTAGTGAAAAAAGAAACGATGTGAAGTTTATAGCAAGTATCAATTGAAATATTCACAACACAATTCTTTATAGCTCTGGACAAACGATCTCCCCTAAGGATTACAGTGTAATTGAAATATAGACACATTATAACACAAATTATCACATTATACCAAGGATCCACGTTAAAGAAAAGGAGGTGCGGGAATTGGCACATGAACGTTGGATCTATTAGTCTCATCAAACTGTACCAACCAGAATCTGCTGGTCTAATAGAGGAACTGGAATGGCTTACTGCAGGTACAGCTGATGTACCAGCATGGACTTGATATTTTGAGATATATACTACACATACAATAAATAATTATTATTGAGTGTTGTGTCCCCATTAGGCAGCATACATGATACGATTGGGAAATTTGAGCTTCCCATCTTGGAACTCTGGGCACTATGGGTTTAGAAGTCCTGGTTTCTATAACAAGACGAAACACTTCCATCAGAGACACAACAAAGGAGTTCCATTAAATTTGGTTTGTGGCTATTGCCCAGGAAATTCAGGCTTTTTGCACCAAGAATAAGCAGACAAGAAGAGGAATCACTACCCTGAAGGGGTAATTGATCTTTAGGAAGAAGTAAGGCTGCTGTTATACGTGAGAGTAGGAAGGATACAGTTTGGCACCAGGTGATTCATATGGGTGTCTTTTAGAACTCCCTCAACCAATTTTAACGGTAAATAGACAAATGCAACATTCATAGCCTGAGAAGAACACAATAAACAGGGTTTTGGAACGTTTATGCATAAAGACTTAGGTCACCTTATCAGAAGAGGCATTTAGGCCAGTAGAGTTGCTAACCAAGAACTCTAGACTACGTAGCAGAGGAGGGATAGGAGTACCAGTTGTGGGCTCATGACTCACTTCAGGAGCAGGTGTTACAATTTATCCCCTTAAGTTTCCTCTCAAGTGACTGCAGGATAAGAAGTTCAGCAAAGTTCTGAAGGAGCTGTGTCTAGAACTGAAATGAATCAAGGAGATGCAAGTGACCTAGGGGTGATGTCACATGTGTTATGACCTGCTACCCAGATCCCTTCCTTCAGGACAGAAAGATTTATTCAGGACAGAAATATTTATTCCCCACTGTTGGGGAAGACGTTATCTCATGTCTTGCATCCATTTGCCCTTTTTTGGGAATTCCCTTGACTAAAGAGAGCTGACATACCCGTGAACATGCTCACTTTTCTGGGTTAGTTTGCATTTAATGATTGATTAACAGTCTACTTGGGACAATTCTGGAATCTCATCCCAGGTGCACAGCTCCCACAAGTTTGGCAAGTTTTCCCTCTGCCACCTCCTGCTCAATTCACTACTTTCTTTTCTTTTTAAGGTTTATTTATTTTGAGAGAGAGAGAGAATGAGAGAGAGAGAG